CTGTTTCATGGAAGCCTTATCTTTCAGAGCAACATGAATTCAATTGTCTACCAGACTCTATATAAACTGATATTTTTCTCTCATTTTGTGTTCGTGAAGAGATACAGCCGGGTTTTAAGCCACAACACCGTTTCCACCAGAAGAATCACCGAAGAGTTGACCCAAATCAAGAGAAGTAGCAGCTCATGTAGATGCAAAACCAAACGCAAGCAACGGGTCTACAACTACCATTAACCGTAACCGGCTGTAGGGACAATAACCGGCAAATGTTCAAGCCTTTTGTGCTGAAACTGAAGCATTGGTAAACCTAGGTCACTTAAGCATGTAAATAACAAAATAAACACAATCTTAACCGTTTTATTCACTGCCTACTCTTTTTTTTATTGGTAGGGTATACTGCGAAATATAACTTCAGTGATGCTGAGATATTTGCAAAACTTCGGACCGCACGTGTCTGCGGCGGGAAACGAACTCGCTATTGCCCTTTCCGCGGAGTAACACGCTCGCCACCACACCATGCGGACACTTCGTTTCGCCTGTCTCTCAGCTAGTTCTATCGATCGATAGAATCTCTAACAGGTGATTGCTGATGGCAGAGAAACACTTCCGCGGAAAGGACAATAACGCGTTCGTTCCCCACCGCAGACACGCACGGTGCGGAGTTTTGCACATATCTCAGCATCATTGAAGTTATATTTCAAAATGAACAGTTTCCAGGATTGAGCTTAAATTGACTTTGGCATTGGGTCATAAATGCGTCGCTTCCTTTCTCATCGATCGCGATGCTGTTAAACAGCACACATTTATTTCCGTACAAAAACACATATAACACAACGGTAGCTGAGGTTATGGCAGAATCGGTTTTTCAGAGGCTGGAAGGGTATATTGATACTCAATTTACTACGCCGAACGCTTCGATAACACATACATAAAGATGAAAATCTATATGGTTATCATACGATTTCTTCCATTGAGTGAGAACCGCTGGCTAGAGGCGTCAATGATTGACGACTGCAGCATCCCACATCAAAAATCGTTAGGAAGGTACAGATTAAGATCAATTATCACCTCAGGGCATTTGTTCCTGCTATTCGTTGTACAGTTGTTGGCGTTTATACGCAAAGCCTCAACAAGTTTGCGCTCTGGTGTTTTGGCACTCTTTGCAAGAACAGTGACTTTTACATCATTCTTTTGGCATTGTTAGGGTACGAGTTACGTAGAGGCTCTAGCGGCATTCCGGTGTTCGATAGATGAGCTGGAATATGTTTTGTGAATGAAAAAAGTGCGGAGTATGAAATGCAATGGCGTGTTCAGTTACGGTATACACTCTAGCTGCGTTTACTAATACAAATTCATCTTTGTTGCAACGTGCCTCATTCTTCAACCTCTCCACAGCTTCTTTGACTTATTCAAATAAATCCAATTCCACTGCAACGCTACCTAGTTTTTCATCAAAGGCAGTACACCGCGATGAGACTTCTAACCAGTTCTGCTCATTTTACCTTAGGGCTATTTCAACTCGATTAAGTTCATCCTAAATCGATAGCCGACCAATAGATAGTGAAATCTCAAATCAATCGACCAGTTCAACGTTCTCTCCATCTTTCCGCCAATTTGTTCTATTTTGCTGATAACATGTGCCTCATAGATCAGAACTGTTTTGTGCGCCAAAGCTGCCATCCTGTTTTAATAATTCTGCAAGCTCTTCTTTGGTTTTCACCTGAAACGCATGGAACCTGCAAGAAAATGAAAAATGGGTGGGACGTCAATAATCGCTACATAATTTAGCTAGCTAGGTAGTGAGGCTAGATGGTAGGATAATCATAGAATGGGAGGTGAAGTCTCTGGAATATAATATATTGCCAAGCTCTAGCAGATTTCGATGATATGCGGTTACAATGTATGTACACTAACAATAGAAGCTTTTGTTAAGAAACTCACTATGTAAACTAGGAAAACGAAGTATGATATTATCAGTGTGACAGTGTGATAGCGGTAATACTGCTAAAAACGGCAATTGACCAGCTTTGGTAAATTCGTTCATATCAATTTCGACGTGTCCTGTTTTATATCGGGTGCGAAAATCGAATTTTCATTTGCTCGAGGAGTCGAGCACATTGCGACAAGCTTCTGTGGAGCGAAGCTCCCACAAGTCCTAACAGCTTCATCCCTCTGCTGGGTCCTCGGGAAATGCCACTAATATTTTGGAAACCATTTAAAGATATCGGTTCATTGTAAGCGGAAACATCAAATTGCCAAATGTGGGCGATGCTCAAGAATTCTAAAACAATCATGAATCTATCAGAATTATGGGTTTTGCTGAGGACCAGATTACATCGGACCTTCGTGTTGAATGTAGCCATTTTCTGACAGGTGAATTTAGACGTTCAGGAATGGAAGCCATTTTTTTTTCGGTTTCTCTCGGGTGAACTTGATATACTATGACTGTTTATTCAACAACTCGAAACATTTCTCCATTTCCTCTTGTGCTGAGCAAAGGACAAAGCAGTCATCTATATATCTACAGTAGAGTAGCGGCCCGAGATCAATCACCGGTGCTTCCACCTTAGACATAAACGCAATGGCGAGACTTGGTGCCAGTCGCTGTCCCATTGCCAACCCTCTTATTTGGACGCAGTACTTTCCGGACCATCTGAAGATTGAGCAGCTCAAGCATTCTTTTAAGAGTGCCATCAACTGCTCTATCTTGAAGCCATACATGTTTATTTTTTCTTGGTGTTGTATAAGAAGTTCACATATGGCTTGCATTGCGTAGTCATTCGACACGTTTGTATAAAGGGCGGTAACGTCGAAGGACTCCATCATAATCATATATTGTTTATTGATTCGATTTTGGTTACACTGTTCCGTATGTTCAGGGTTTTGATATGAATTGTGCACTAGTCAAATACTTGGTAAACCAAGTGAGAGACAGTACAATCCAGCGCGCCTGCTCGAAAGTCTCTGAAGGGACTACTCTTTTGGCTGATCCCTATGCGACGTAGTTTTCAAGGTAGAGTTTATAATGACTGTTGTCTGAGTGTTTCTCATTTTCTGTACTGCTTGCAGCACAGGAGGTTTGTGGAGCTGGAGAAACGGTGTCGAGGAGGTGAACGATCGATCGACTGAAGAGAGTGCAGAGCTAACACGGATGGTGTGTTCCCGAAAAGATGTAGCCCATTACCTGACGTCTTGAGCACTTTGTAGGTCAGGGATTATAGCCTGTCGTATCAGTTCGTAATGTATAGATTTCTGGGCTGCTTACGTAAATAAAGTGTCCATCGTTTATGCATTTTCTGCTTCGTGTTCTTCATGTTTATACCACTTTCACTTTATTTCAGTGTGCTTTCTTATGTTGCGTTCTGATTTCAAAGAGCAGTTCTTGAAAAACGATATGGCGGAAGAGTTCGTTGGTGCAAGCTAACATTATCTATAGCTTTTCGGACCAGTGAACTACCGAAGCAAAAATTTTGAGACAAACATAGCGAAAGAACTTCATGATTACTGTTCATCGCTTGGAGAAATCACGGTAAACGAGGAATTTGAGATTTTTAATCAGCATAGATTTGCTGTCATTATTGTTTCTTATCCTACTTTGGTGTTCTTTAATGTCGTAGTCTTGTATGTTTAGATTAAACTTCGCCGAAGCCGCCATGCTTCTCCAAGGATCGGCGTTTATTTTTGCCAGGAACGTCGGCTACGTTCACTCACAGGTGCATGGACTTCTTCGAAACGCTGCAACTGCAGAAAACTAATAGAAAGAAAAAGACAGCAAGTATTGTTTTTCTTCTGTGTGAATTGGTGTTTTCGAATTTATTGTGACGCCTTCTCAGAGGAAGATGACGAAAAGTTTGTCGATTAAAATGGGGGTGCTATTAATCCCTGCGATCTGATTGGTTACAGTTCATTGAAGCCATGCAATCCGGAATCACTTTGCAGAGTGCTTTTAAGTGAGTAAAAACCTCGCTTCAACGTTACTTAAGCAGTTCTATCAAAATAGGTGCCAATTTTTAGAGAGCAAGTGTAAAGTCAACCCCACAAGATCAAAATCATGTCGATGTCGCTAATGCCTATAGCGGATAATGAGAAGAGTGGCGGTGTAATTTATTCAACTGGTGCGCGTATGGAAGTCGTCGGCAAAATAGACGTTATCAGAATGAGCTATGGCTTCCTGAACAGCAGGGTAATTTGATTTTGATAGTAGATTTCTTTAAGGTCGCTTCTGGCGCAGTGGTCGGAGGCGCCCAGCAACACACATGGGATGGCTCCGCGTGCCTCTGGCCCACCAAGCCTTCCATCCCTCCGGGGTCGGCAAATTGGTACCAGACATGTATGGGAGGATAACAGTGTTGGCTCGATGAACCAGTAGGCCATGGCGAGTCATTGTGAAGGCCAGATATGCATTCAATCACCTCCAACAATGCTTAATGAAGTCGAATGCATGGTGCATCCATCCGTCAGGGATTGATCAACGCCGAGAACTTTATCCTTTACCCTTTTATTGGCAGATTTTACTACAACCTGTCGTTTTCTAGTTCGCCCATGTTTTAGTATTTCGACTTCGTCAACTTTTGGATTTACAGTTTTTTTTAGTAGTTTTCTCGTAGTGTATTAGTCTGTTTGAGCAGGAAATCATAGATTTTGTTGTTAAGGAATCGTAACCTTAAAAGATGGTTTCTAGGATTCTTTATTTCGTAGTGTGCAGCATGCAGAAAACGAGGGTACCCCTCTGTTTACCCTTTCAGGGCGTCTTGTTGCTTCATTTGGCTCATGAACTAATTGTTGACGACTTTGCCAGTGACGTGTTTGTTCGATTATGGCATCCACACTTTCCACCAAATGAGAAAGCTAAGCGACGAACTGTGCTACACGAAGGTAGAGTTAGTTAGACATTTTCAAAAGCAAACTGCTGATTTTTCAAAGGGTCTTCTGCAGTTTAGTGCTCTCCATTCTTCTGTGTATTAGAATTTGTTGAAAAATAGTTTAAGATGCTGTTGCTAGCTATGATGTTTGGTAACTATCAAGCGTTGTGGAGATGAGTAGACGGGTAACCGTGAACACATTCAGTGACGTTAATCCTGCAAGGTGTTCATCTCTGTTCATATCATAGAAATCGATGATCTTCGTCAATGAATTTTAAGATTTCTTTATTTTAGACCATCTACCCATCTTTTGGAGGTAACAAGTCTGTGATGACGATTTCTACGCCAGTGAATCTCATAATCCACCTCGCCCACGTAGCAGGCATAATCTTCGCTGGCCACACCACAACCACGAGCTTCGCCTGTATGCCTGTCTTTTCTCCTTTTTTCTTATTTTTTTTTCTGCGTTGCCTATTTTATGCTTTCAGTGGAATATCAATGAATCAAAAACTGTAGAGAGCGAAACCGGCAAAATTCTTCTAGATCCGTTCAAGGTCGGAAGGAAAGTGAAGTACGGAAGTGAAGCCTGTTGAAGAAATTAAGAGATTCACAAGAAGCACTGCTGTGGCAGCAAAAATAGAAAAGGTTTGCGATTCTTGCAAACAAACTACTACGTCAAGGAACACTTTTGCGTGCGGAAGAATCACAAAACAACTAAAGGGAATGAATGGGTTGGTAGATTAATTCGCACCTTTCTTGTCACTGATGATTTTTTATTAAGCAATGGGATGCTCTTTATTGATTTATCACCGCGGTTTCGAAAAAGAGACCTAGGGTAAAGCGCGAACCAGGAAAGGGGAAAGCGAAGCCATTATCTGAAGGCGGTGTTTACCACAGTTCTTCGAAATTAGGCTGTTTACTTATGTGTTGAGGTTTTCTCGTTCAATTACGAGCTTTAACGTCATAAACGACGAGCACACGTCTTCTTTTTTGTGCTGTTTTACTCATGCGTGTCAGTGAACTACTATGGCAACCACAACGATGACGATATTTTTGAATGTGACCATGATTTAGACGGTTAATTCGTCGATATTCACCCTGTAGAAATCGTGGAAATGCCTTCAAAAATTAGGGCTGCTGTTGCTGCTAAGAAGAGTGAACAGGTGAAGAGTGAATACTGTTTGCTTTTTTTTTGAACGACATGCTTTTAACTCGTATGAAGTGCTGAGATATTTGCAAAACTCCGGACCACAGGTGTATGCAGTGGGGAACGAACACGCGCTGTTGTCCTTACCGGGGAGCAGCGCACTTCACCACTACACCATCCGGGTCACGTGTTCGCTCCTCACTGCATACACCTGTGGTCCGGAGTTTTGCAAATATCTCAGCACTTCATACGAGTTATATTTCACAACATACCCTGCCATTAAGAAGAAAAAGGCAGTAAATAAAAGAGTTAAGACATGCTTTTAAGTCTAGCTGTTTTTGAGAAAATGTATTTGTGCATTCTAATAAACCGGTTGAAGTTAAGCTGATATATTCTACTGTGAGCAGTTTTTTCAAAAGGCTGCTTTTTATAGCTTCCTAAAAGAAACTTTCATTAAAACTTTGATGTTCGGAGACATTGATAACGATGAGCTAAATAACCCAATAGTTGTGGAATCGTTGTACGGAGGCGATTTTGTTTTTGGAGTCCCTGGTTCAGTCACACTGTTCATTGCTGCTGTGGTAGGTTGTATTAGGCTCGTTTTTTTTCGTAAAAAGGCGATGCGCCGCTCTTATGACTTGTACCATCTTCAGGAGAGAATTTTGTCCTAGGTAACTTTTTTTGGAATCTTGTTGGTTGCGTTTCATCCGAGGTCTTTGTTATACACAAAGAGATAATCTTCATGAACAACTTGTACAGTACACTTATGAAGGATATTGGTCGCTTTTTAGGACGTTTCTTTCAGTCACCTTTCTTCAATAGGAAAACCTTGCACGAAGGTCTCAGTTTGAGTTTGTTCATCAGATCCCGCTTTAACGACGTCCTCCATGACCCGAGATTTTGGCCTTCCACTGATCGTCTTAACGCATGAAGTCATAGATGGGAGAGTCCATT